CCACCACCCTGTGCATCTCTTCACCGGGGGGGTTCATCTGTATCCTTGAGAACAAACCAGCAATCCTAAGTACAGTGCTTCCCTGAGTTCTGGGAGCTGTTTTAACGAATTAGCAACCCTGAGGGGAGTCCATAGGAAACCCTGACTTCGAGGTTGGGAAGGCCAAAGTGTGGGCAGCCTGGGGACCCCCACTTGTGGCTAGTGACTGAGGTGGGGGCGGTCTTGTGGGACTGGGCCCTTAGCCTCTGGGACCCATGCCAACTCTGGGTAGTTAGTGTCAAAACTGGGTCTGGTCGTAGGTGTCAGACAACTGACGTTAGAACATAAATGCCGGGGCGCCTGGGTGGCTCAGTTGTTAAGCGTCTGCCTTCGGCTCCGGTCATGATCCCAGGGTCCTGGGATCGAGCCCCGCATCGGGCTCCCTGCTCAGCGGGAAGCCTGCTTCTCCCTCTCCCACTCCCCCTGCTTGTGCTCTCTCTCTCACGATGTCTCTCTCTGTCAAATAAATAAATAAAATCTTTAAAAAAAAAAAGAACATAAATGCCTTTGCCACCCTGGGGACAGCTTGGGGGCAGAGGCCACTTCTGCTTCCTTAGCTGCACACGGGGGCTATCGGGCGTGGGGGGCACTCATACCTAGCTCCCTCAATGGCTTGCTGCACGGCGCGCATCCGCAGTCCTCCCGCAGGATGTTTATGAATGACAGAGACTGCACCAGCTGGGAACTAATTAGCCCGTGAAAACCGGGGATGGCTTGCAGCTCTAGCGAGGCAGACCTGCCACCCTCACCCCCCCGAATCACCGCACCAGCCACTGAGGAGGTGAAAACTACACTGTGTAAGAAATCAGTATTGCAAGCAAGCTGTTCTTTGATTTCTTGGCCTTTCCACTGGGCTCCTGTTGTATCCCCTCCAGGCCACTGTAAATACCTCTCCCTTGGCTCCTAAAGGCAGCCACAGGGAAGCCAGGTGTTCCAGCCCATGACAACAGCCTCACTGTGTTAAGGGACAGTTCAGCATTTCAGCTCCTGGGGTCAGCCAACCAGAGTCGCAGGCGAGGCCCCTGGTGAGCTGTGTGGGGGTGAGGCTTTCCCAGAGACCAGCTCTGCAAAGGAAGGGGGTTGGCAGCTCTGGGCCCCCGGGGGGTTGGGGGGGCGGTCTGCGTGGCCTGTTTTTACCTATAATTCTCAGCTGTGAAATACGGCCAAAGAATCCCCCTGCCTCTGAGGACCACCGGCTTTCTTCTCCAATGTGACAGCCCTTTGCGGGAGTTTCTCCGGGTTCAATTCCAACATCTCTACTGATTTCAGGCAGGGACAGCCTTCTGGAATGCCGCACCAGTATAAAAAGGAAAATTCGCCACTCCTGCTTCCACCAAGGTGGAAGGATCGGGCTGTCCCCTGGCTGTGCTTTTCCCCACCGGCCCGCTAGCCCAGGGCTTGGCCTCCAAGGGCTGGCTGTGTCACCCACCGGCTGGCTGTGCCTCTCGTTCTGCCGGCGGCTCTGCCCGGTGCTTCCGAGGGCCATGACATCCGTCACGCCGTGGCTCCCTAGTGCTGACCCATTATTACAAAGTCCTTCGCTGTCCATGTCGCACAGGTCTTCCCATTAAGGCTGGTACCCATTCTATCACTTCCCGCATAATTAAATGTGCGTGCTCCTGGAATGCCTTCCCCAAGACTGGAGCAAAGCTGTGACTCAACAGCCTTTTGGATCCAGTTACAGCGGGATCCAGTTACAGCTGGATCCAAATCCCCAGACACATCGCAAGGCTGCTCGTGGCCAAACCACCTCCGAAGGCTGAAGCCATCACCTGCTCCCAATTTCAGAAGGAACTGTTCCAGCTTCAGTTTCCACAGAGCAATCATCTGTTCGGGCCCAAAGCACACTTTTACCATCTGCACTGGTGTGAGTGCAGATGGGGGAAGCAGCTGGACCATGGGCCAGCCCCTCACCACCTATGGCAGGATTTAGGAAGGACGGGGGCTGGGTTGTTGCTCTGCAGACAGCCGACACGTGTTAGTGAGGTGGTGACCGCAGAGAGTAGTCAGAGATTTCCAGGGCCAGGTCTTGGAACCTAGACAGCCAGAAGCAACTGGGGGGGTGGGGGGGTCCCTCTGGGCTCCATCCCGACTCCAGTGGCCCAGGAGGTCCTAAGGGGCTGGCAATTCCTGACGACTCTCAGAGGCACACCCAGGACACAGGTGGTGGACAGCCGTGTGGGGCCCCTCGTGCCAGCCACGCCAGCTTCTGAGCAGCCACTTGTCCCTCAGGCTCAGCAGCAGGAACAGAGCAAAGAGGTCTTCTTTTTGAAGAAAGCCGGGCAAGAAAGCCAGGTGACCCACTAACAGCTCAGACTGTAGATGTTTAGGTGGGAACTCCCTCTGAGGAAGAGGGCTCCTAGAACTATCCCTCTTCCAGAACCAAAGGCAGGGGTGCCTGGAAGAGACCCAGACACGTCGTTTTTACCACAGAGGCAGGGAGAACGATCCACACTGACTGTAGGTCTGAGGGGCATTCCGACAGTGGTTTCTGCTGGCTTTCTAAGTATAGAAGAAACACGCGCGGGGACGTGGGCATACACCTGCTGTGGCCGTGGGACGCATAAACCACACTCATGCTGGAAGGCACTCAGCACTGATGGCGGAGAAGTTTAGTCCACTTTGGAGTCTGAGCACAAATGAGGCCCAGGCATGGAACCCTCTGGAGGCAGATCGGGGTAGCCAGGGAGCTGAGGCCGAGCAAGGGGAGGGATCCCTGTGGATCTCCTATGGGTCCAGTCCACCTGTGGGGAGACTGGCAGCCTCCAGAAAAGCTGACTCAGGGTAGCACATACCCTTGCCCTCAGAGTGCCCCCTCGCTCCATGGTCACCTTTGACCAGGGTTCCGGTGCTCCCGTCTAAATGGTGACAGCCATGTGTGGGCATACACTGTCCCCTCTACCTTGAACATCCCTCGCCCTATTTTCCACCAGCTGATCCCTTTCCATCTTGCTCACTATCACCTCCCTGCCTCCAGGCTGAGCTGAGTTGCTTCTTTGCCCACTGCTATACCTTTTGCTCATACTCCTCACAGCGCTGAGCACACCAGACTAAACTAGCTGGCTTATTTCCACTAGAGTCTCAGTTCCTCGAGGGGGCAGGATATCCCTGCAGAATACATTTTGAGTTGTAAATTCCTTCCCTCATGGAGGCCCCCAGCCAAGCTTATGAAGGAACCCAGGGTTCAAGGTAAATACTTCTAAGTAGACCAAAGGAGAGTTTCATTTATATATTTTTTTCTCTTGTTGAACCAGAATATTTTAACTAGTGTGAAACTGTGTTAAAATGTAGATGTCCAGGTTCAAAAAGGATTTAAACCTTGTAAAAAAAAAAAAAAAAATTTTATGAGGGCTTCAGGCCATACTGCTCTCTTATGTTTTTATGCCCAAGTTCACTGCTATGATTACATGTCACTGTGGCTTAGCCTTGTGGACCCTGCGAGAGAAAGAAACAGAGGGAGCTGTGGCGATTTCTCCTGAGATGAGCAGAGGTTAAGCTACGGAGCCAAAGGGCTGTGTGGTTTCCTTCCTCATCCCCAACCCTACTGCCCATCATTCAAAACGAATAAAATGCCCAGTTTACTCCACAGACGGACTCAGGCCAGGCTCTTAGCGAAGGTTCTAGTAAAACTCTGTGTCATCGTAAGGACACCTATTGTACAGTTCCTTTTATATGAAATGTCCAGAAGAGGCAAATCCACAGAGACAGAAAGCAGATGAGTGGGTGTCCGGGGCTGGGGGCAGGGAGAATGGGGACTGGCTGCTCAAAAGGCAGGGGGTGTCTTTTCGGGGTGGTGCCAATGTTATGGAATCAGTGGCGATGGTCACACAACACAGTGAATGTACTACAAGCCACGGACACGTACGCTTTAAAATGGTGAATTTTAGGTTATATAAATGTGATCGTAATAATATGCAAAAAAAAATTTTAAAAAGGGGGGGCTATCTTACCTTCCTCCCAAAAGTACACTAAATTTTGTTCAGAGTGTTTCACATTCACAACATTGAGGACTAGAGAAGATCATTGCTTATGAAGTTGGGGAACGACTAGGCCAACGTCACCATGAGGGGAAGCAGAGACAGAGCTGGGTCCTACACGAACGACAGCAGACCATCTCGGCCCCCCACCTATCACAGGAGACCCGGGCCACCTGGGTGTTTGTTGGAGAGGACAGATTGCAATTCAAAAACCTCTCTGGAGCTGTTCGATAAAAATGGTCTCAGAGGACACTCAGCACACTCAAGGCAAGAGAAACCACACGGACGCCTCAGACAGACCTTCCCGAGACAGAGGGTATAGCCACGAGACTCCAAAAGCAAATCACCCAGAGAATGAAGTTCAACATTCAGTCAAGAAGAATCACTGGGATTACTGAATTTGAAGATCTGATACCTTTGAAATGAAACATTTCACAAACTCCGCTGAAATAAGAAATACTTCTGTTTTTTGTTTGTTTGTTTTTTTAAAAAGACAACGAATTATTCATTTTGAAAAGAACTAGATGGTCCTGGGGAGACAAAGTTAAAGAAATTTTGCTAGCCAAATCTGATTTGGGGATTATTTTGAGGGTTTATTTAGTGCAGTTCTACACATTTTGTGATATAAATACACGCACACATATATACTCAGATATATATGTATGTATAAATACGTTTATTTCCGGTGCAAATCACTCTGTATTTCTTCTTTCCATGAGTCTAATACTGAATTATGATGATGCAAAGGCCCTCAGGATGTTGGGCTAACCCGTGAAAGGGCCAAACACCGAAAAAGGAAAATGATTAAAACACACATAACACACACGATTGTCTTAAAGTTATGGAAAATTAAGTAGGCACAACTGATTGTTCTGAGCTGGCAGGAAAACTTGGGTAACTAGCATAGATCTGGACAACCACGGAAAGCCCACAGCAAGGACCACATCGTGACCAGCCACCAGAGAGTCGGGATGGTAGACTTACCGAGAGCGTCCACTGGCGGGGGGCGCACGGTGAGAAAGTGCAGGATACACAATTGACACAAAAAGGAAAATAATAAAGTCAAACTGGGATTCGAGCAGCAGTCTTACCTTCCTTTCATGTGTTCAACAGTCCGTGGTTTGCCACCAGATTTTCTGTCGGGGCAATTAAACCCACCTCCACCAAGAGCTGCGCATCCACGGTCCCTTCCCTGACTTGCTAAAACTTTTCTTTCTCCTCTTAAACAGAAACCTTCCTCGTTACTAAGCATCACCCCCTAGAGATCACGGCATGGTTTCTAAGAAGAGAGATGAAGACTATATTCCCCAAAGAAGCCAATTAAGATGCTTTACACCAAGAAAATCTTTCAAGTATAATTTACTATAACTTGAAAAGTAATTGGGGAAACCCAGGAAACAAAATTTAAACTGGGGTGAAAAATGAAAAAAAAAATAATAAAGTTAAAATTTTAGTAGAAGAGCAAATAACGTCTTCGTCTAGACCTCTGTGAGTCTGTTTATTAGGTTTATAGTATTGGCTTTTTGCAGCCTCTGGTCAAAAAAGATAGATTAAACTATTGAAATGTCAGGCTCCAGGGTTAATATAGTAGAACGCTCCAGTTTTAGCAGCCTCAAAGAAAGTGCTGATAAGCTTTCAGTAGTTTCAGATGGAAAGAGAAGGCTTGACCATAATTAATTTTTACATTTAAATTAATAGTAATCTGGGAGTTAATTAAATGAGAAGGCTGCTGACTTTGTATGGTAAGGTGGCAAAAGCAAGCAAAGCAAAAGCAAGCACAGAACACGTTTCCCACAATCCATCCACGCTCACTTCCCCAGTCAAGTTTCGGCCAGCTCCGGGACCCGAGCTGACATCAAGCAGCAGGGCTTGATGAGGACTCATCGGACATCTTCTAGAGTTCGGACTATTGGGTCGGCTCCACAGCCCGTCCCTACCTTCCCGCTGCCTCAGTCTTCTCCCCATCGCCTGTCACTCAGGCTGGCTCTGTCCTGGGTCCCTAACCCTGGGCATCAGCCTGGAACTTCTCCGAGGGCGGGTACTGTCTCTGCAGCTCCCAACATCTGCCTCACGTTTACGCCTGGTAGGTGTTCGGTAACCCTGCCTTCCACGGAAATAGGTACATCCACCCACAGCTGGAGCAGATGCCAAGTTGTTTTAAAATGGTTTTGAGATAAAACCTAACCAAATCCCCAAAAAAAATTCGAAGTTTTTTTTTTTTTGGATGGTAATATTTAAATACCTTTAGATTATAAATTATCACTGTCTTTATTATAGGAAAAAAAAAAGAGCCCAATAAAGCATGTGACAAAAGGTGATATCTGCAGCGTGAAAATTAAATTAGTCACATACAAAAATGACGTCCCCTATGTGTCTGCCTACATATATACTCAGATATATATGTATGTATAAGTTAATTAATAGTAATAAATAATTAAATTAATAGTAATAAATAAATAATTAAAAAATCAAGAGCAGTGCCACCACCATGTTTAACTGCACAAAGGTGTTTGAAATTTTGAAAAGGAGAGTCAGAAGAGCTTTTAGATCAAAGATCACAGTTTTTTTAAAAAGGCACAGCAGAAAGCTGCTTGGTGATCTCCTGAAAACACATTAAAAGCAAAGTGATTATTTGGTTACCAGACTCAGTTCTATCAGGACAAAAAAAAAGATATCTGAAGCATGTGTCTATTGTAACACATCGTGTAAATCTCAGAAGAAGCTACCAACACTTTATAAGCCTAGAGTCCAGAAACCCACCACCTATGGAAGGTGATGCAGATGCCTCAAGAGGAGTTCTGGCAGCAAGGGAAACTTCAGGTAACCAGACCCCAAATCACGGGAAGCCTCAAATAACCAGATTTCTGCTGGCCCTGAACTTGCAGCATTCCTGCTCCATCCTCAGGGTACCCATCTTCTAGGAGAGCACTCCATTATAAACAGAATGACGACTCTGGTGCCTTCTAGAAGGTTCCATTCACCTCAGACATACACAAATCTGTGCACTCGGTCAAAAAAATGCACTTATATATTTTAGAAAACAGTATTTTTGTAAAGGAAAGAAAGAAAACTGTTTTCTGGTTGTACTCTGGATAACGAGAAAATCATCTGGAACATTCCAAGCAACTGATCTGACTTGGTGCGTATACATAACTATACCACCGTGGCCACCTTGTCTGGAAGGACATGGTGCCTGAGACCACCAGCTATGTGGCTAGCGCTGAGAAAGAATGCTTCCAGAAACCCCTGCTCACAGCCTCCATCCTCTGCCTTCAGGCCCAAGTGCCCCACGAAGCCTCCCAACCAAATACCAATTCTACTGAGCCCTAGGACCAGAAGCATCTCTTCATGTTACACAGTCTAGCACCCCAGGCGCCCTGAATCTTTCCCTCGGGTGCCTTGATGGGGAACTCATTATCCTCTCTAGGCAGCCTGAGCCAGTGCTTGGGCAAGTCTAACTGCCAGAAACTTCCTTTTGTGTTGCACTGCAATCAACCCATCAGCCTTTCCCGGGAGGTCCAAATTCTGCTAATTGGGACAATGCCAGGGACTTCGAGTGACAGATGCAGTGTTCCAGCCTCCGTGCAGAATTCAGATAAAAGGATTATCACTGCAGCCAAGAACTTAAGGCCTCTGGAAAGAGAACTCTGAAACAGCTAAGGGAAAACAGCTACTTTTTCTTCCCTCCTCCTTTTTACCAAACTTCCAAACATTTCCAAACCTGTAAGTGTCTTCCCTGGACCTTCCTTCCAAATCCCTTTCATCTCAAAGCTGCCAAGCCGTCAATGACATGGAAATCAGTCCCGAATGTTTACCAGCCAGATCTTCCATGGGACCCCAGATTCGATGGAAGCGATGGCCATTTGATTTATAAGCATTTACCTCTGGACTCACTGAAATGTTACTGGCCGCAAACCCTGTTACTTGTCCAATGTTAGGTCCCAGGTGCGCCAGGGAGATAGAACATACGTTTGAAAAGCACCAAGAAAACACATCCAAAACAAAGGGGTGAGGCCAAAACTGACAGAAGATCTGGTTATGGGTGAAAAGTCTCCTGCCCTTATCGTGAAATGGTTTTACGGTTTTTACAAGAACTGGGAAGACATTTTTGAAAAATGTCAAAGCTTAAAAACTTTGTCCAGTCCTTGCCCCCTTTCCACCAAACTACTCCAGCTCTCTGAATGTATTTTCCTCTAATTCCAAATGAGAACTGCCCGTTTAGGAAAAGAGGAAATTTGGTTTTGGGGGTTTCTACCTAAAAATTGTCCCAAACATTGTCCCAAACAAACACTGAACACAGAGTTTTTTCCTCATGGGAAAAAACAAAAACATTTCATCAGTTGTGAGACAACAAATTCAAAAAGCTGGTATCAAGAAGAACAGCCTGGAAGAATGTCACCCTCTCAAGTTCGAGTCCTTAGATTTTTGGTCTTAGGAAAATGTCACAAATGCTTGCAAAGTAGATGTAGCTAGATTTTTCTCTGCACATTCCCAGTCCATGTTGGAAGAGCAGAGCTGGGTCACAGATCTGACAGGGGGCCAGTGTGTGGATGACAGCAAGCAGGGAGGCGGGCGGAGGGCCACGCTGCCCCAGTCTGGTTTTCCCTGGGAGTCCCCACACTCACGAACACCATGAAAAAGCTCTCTATAAAGCACATGCTCCCAGGCTCCCACTGCAGCCATTTCTAACATTCTCACAAGGCTTAATAAAGGGTTTTGGAGATTATAGGCTGTGAACGATGGAGGAGAAAAGGACATAATTTCTGTAATAATTACTAGAGGACATCTGCATGAAGGCTTTTATGCATTATCCCAAGGCTTCCAAGAAATTTATAGGTTTCATTACAACGCACAATAGGCATGGAAACTGTCATTTTGGAGACAAAGGTAGGGGGGAGGGAACAAGTCAAGTACAACTTCGCAAGGGCCTCAAATTAATAGATATTCTGCACTTGGGAGCTTTAATTCAGATGGATTCTAGGTGCTCCTGCTCCCCAGGGCCGTCATATGCACCGAAGCCTGAATCCGATGCTTTCTGCTTCCAAGTCAAACCAAGCACGTGCTCGTTTCCCCAAAGGAACAATATTAATGGCAGAACTTGTATAGTTACCTTTTTTTGCTTTCTTCTGCAGCTTCAGTGTATCTGAGGACTTCTTTTTTATCTCTTGGCGAGCTTTTTTATATTCTAAAAGAAGGCAGAATATTGAATCATTTTACCACTTTGCGCAATGGACAATATTCTAAGGAACAACCATTACTTTCATTACAGAAAGCAGAAACGATGCCCTGAAATGAAGAGCTTAATCCAGAATGCCAAATGATAACAATCTCACACTGACATTGTATAGCCCAGGGGCGATTATTAACATGAAAAGCCACAAAATGCACCTTGGTCTTTTCCTGATAGTATTCACTTGTATCAGCTGTGAGGAGAGACGTCATTCGGGGATATTTCACTACAAGTGAAAAATCCACAATTTCTCGGCCCACGTATCAGGAAATTGAAAAATAGGATTTGCTTTCCCAAAGGCCCAAATCCACAGTGCTTTGCTCAAAAAGGAACCCATGTGGCAAGACGCTCGCCAGATGTTACAATTCAGCAAAGAGCCCCCGAGCCCCCGGCGTGAGAGATCAGATGGCGTGGGGGCAAACTGGGGAAGGTCCAGCTGCCTTAGCCTTACTCTCACACCCACACCAAGGCTGGCGCTGGATCCCGAGGAGGGGCGGCCCACATACGTACACCACGTCCCCCCAACGACTTCCTCGTCCCCCACCAGTCTACACCTGCTCCTGGACTTCCCATTTCTGTCACTGGCGCCTCCATCACCCAGATGCGGACATCTGAAGTGACAACCGCCTCTGACACCTCTCTCCTCCTTTGCTGACCTCATATTCAAATAACTGCCCGTTCGACCAGTTTCCTTGCGCAGACTTCCCGGATGCTTCCCTCGCCGCAAGCCCCCCAGCCCCATGCTGCCACTCAGGGCCCTCAGTCCCACGCTCCTGGGATCCGCTATGCGCCAACCCTTCCTCCTGGCTTCCTCCCGCCTCCAATCTCCCCATAGGCCTTCCCTCCCCAGCATTCACTGCAGGTCGTATGATCCTCGGAGAAACCCGCCCCTCCCACGCTGCCAGTACCCCCAGCCTTTGGGTCCAGGAGGACCAACTGGGGAGGTGTCCATCTGGACCACTCTGCCCCCAGAGCGCGGCACACGAGGTGCTGAGGGGCTTTCGTTGAAGCATACGCAGAGAGGGTGGTGGTTCCGGGCAGGAGACGCCAGGTCAGCTTCTCTCTTTAAAAGGTTGGCTTTCGAAACGTGCTGGAATGCCTTACGTGTGAATCTTTGGCGCCGAAGCCTGGCATTACCGTTCACGTTCCATTCAGCCGATCACAGCTGAGACCACTGAGAGCCTGGGCCATCAGCCGCTGAGGGAGGTTTCGGGAGTCCTTATCCTCCAACGCCGAAATGGGAGAAGTGGGACCAGAGGGGGCCCTGCGGGGGGCACCAGCAAGGGCAGGAGGCAACATCCGGCAACACCCGCAGCTCTGCTCGGGGCGCGTGCTGCTACGCAGCAGCCAGCCTTGCCCCGTACCTTTCGCGTGGTCTTTATCCAGCTGGTTGGCCACTTTCTTCCATTCTTCCATCTGTTCTTGAAGTGGGTTTATCAGACAATCGATTAAAGCACTTCCACCCCAAAAAAAAAAAAAAAGGAAAGACAAGGAGAAGTTAAACAGATACATTCTGTTGTGAGGTTGTCAAAACCACCTAAGTCACGACAACGGGGTGCAAGGCAAGGCAGCACCTAAGCCCAAGTTCACATCCAAATCTCCCCATTTCGTAACAACCTTATTCTCAGAGTGCTGCTTCTCCAGGGACTGGTAGGAGGCCGTCAACATGACTGGATGGAGCGAGCCCGCTTCCCATTTCCCCTGCTCACATTCTCTCTCTTGTGTTCACAAGCATGGTCGCAGACCTGTGGGGTCACCCCTCTGGCTGCACAACAGAAGCTCCTGGAGAGCTTTAAAAAGGTAAAGACATCAGGGCTACACCCCAGACCTCATGCCTGAGAGAAACCTGGAGGGTGGGACCCCAGTATTACTATTTTTTTCTTTTTTAAAGCCACATGATTCTGATGTGCATTCAGAATTAGAAGTCATGAGTGTAGACTAGCTGGACAGCCTGGAGAAGGAAAGCTGAATGGCCAGCTTCTGGAGAAGAGCGGCGAAGGCATCCCCAGGTACCTCCCCACACAGAGGAACCGTGTGAGGCACAGACCCCCAGGGTTTATGTCTGTGTAACAGAAGGAAAATGGATACATTCCTACGTCACAGAGATGTTATAGAAAAATTAGCAAGTGCCCATAAATCGCTCGAATTGCACTGGTGGGAATTACTACAAAGGTGCTCTCTGACTGCTTTTTGATCGTGGCCCTCCTGAAAATCTTGAAGTTCTTGGTACAATTCCCTCCTTTCCTCGTCAGGGCCTCCCCTCCCTCACACCCACGCCAGCCATCAGCACAGCTCACCTCCTCCTTTCTTCCAGGTCTCTGTTCAAATTGTCCTTCTGAACAGACTCGCTCTAACCACCCAGGGTGGAACCGGGCCATCTGTCTCCTAGCCCACGGATTTCGCCTCGTGGCATTTCCCACGGCCTGACGTTGTGGGAGGTGTACGCGGTGTCTAGAGTGTAAGCCCCATGAGGATAGGGCACGGTCCTATTCACTGCTATAGCCCACACACCTTAAGACAGTGCCTGGCACACAGTAGGTGCTCCATAAACATTGGCTGTTGAACCAGTGTCTCCTCATCCCTAAAATGGGGTAGGGTACCGCCATTCATTCATTCATTCATTCTTTACTGCAAATAAACCCAGATGACACGTGGGAGAGGAGGCATTGCGTGGTCTGGGAGCGAGCAGGAGGGAAGGCGGGCAGATGTCATCACCTGCTACCCAGGCGCTTTCTGCTCGAAATGTGTGGACATTCCATGAATTCTCACAAGCACCCCAATTTATAGCAGCTGAGATTCCAGCCAAGAGGCCCACGCCTGAGCGGCCAGCCCGGGGTTCAAACCCAGGCCTATCAGTCTCCAAGACCAGGCACTTCCCACCATGTTCTGCCACCTCCCATGGTGGCCCGGCCAGGAGGGACAGAGGCCTTTCACATTGGCAACCCCTCACACAGCTCACGATCCGTAAAGCAGAATGCTCCAATCTGCTTGGAAGAATGTCCCTCCCCTCCACCCCCCACTGGAACACTGGTGACTCCAAATCCCTGGCCAACCACTGCCAGTTCTACCCACTCTGGAGGCTGGTAAGACAGACAAGAGGCCAGCAGCACGGAGGGCTCCATGGTTACCGCTGTCCGCGGTGGGTAGAGAGGATGCCCCCGGGTAACAGCGCGTGCCCCGCTCCCCAGCACCATGACTCCCCTTCCAGAGGCTCCTGCAGAGGGTGCATGCCCTGCTCGCACGCTGGCGGGGCGCCAGGAGAGACCCAAAGGAGCACAAAGTGGGGTGCGGGCTCCACGAGGGCAGGGACCCAGGCCATCCGGTTGTCCGCTGCACCCCCAGCACCCCGCCCAGAGCCTGGCATGCGGCAGACTGCCCACGAACACTTGATCAGTGAGGGAGGAGCATCACGGGCTGTGGGTACTGCAACGCTACAGGGAAAAAAGTGCCGCCCCTTCCCCCGAAACCAGCAAGGGCTGGTGAGATCCCGGCGAGACGCACTCCTCACCTCGAAAACTGCCTGAGCTTGGCTTCTATGCTTCTGTGTCTCATGCACATCCTGGTCAGGGCGGAGCCAATCTCCCTGGTTCCACCTGAAAAAGAAACACAGGCAAAGCTGAGGACAGGAGACAAGCCGCGATCACTGAAATCTTGAAAAGAGAACGAAATCATCTGGAAAGAAGCTGGATTTCACCACGGGGTAAAACCCAAGCCACTGCCTCTCGCCAGGCGTGTGTACATGCCCTCACGCACACACGTGTGTAAATATACATGGTGACGCATTTTTCTATTATCACCAAAATAAAAGGTACCTTTACTATACACAATGCCCAGTCATACTTTCTATTTTTCTCTAAATGCCAACCGTGACCCAGAAATTGATTTTACGACCCACTAACGGATCGTGACCTGCAATGTGAAAAATAACTTCCCAAGGAAGACGATCAAAATAGTATCTGATATTTAAGGAAAAGCTGTTGTTTTTGGTCTGTTTTGTTTTGCTTTCCACTTCTGGCCAAATAAGCCCCTTAGCATTATTTAGAACAGCTAATAAGGACACTCTAGCTGTTTCAAAGCACATAGTCTAGAAAACAAGTCATTCGGAGACAAGCGAGGCCAAAGCAGAATGCAATAGGGGAGCATTTTCCTAAAGGGTTTGGGGTAAGGCTGGTGAAAGAGGTCCTCAGACTCGACAAATGTCAAAGCAAGCTGTAATTCGGTTTGATTTTCCCGAAATTCTTGTCCTACTGCCCCCTTCGGGCACACCCTCTTTCAGATTATTTATAAAGTTTCCCTCCTTCCCCCTCCTAGAAACAATGCCTGAATCAGCACTTAGCTGGGTGTGGGGGAGCAAACTGCAACCACAGATGGGAATTCAGCATCAAGCACTGGAAAGCGCAATTATAAATGTTATGAAAATACTAGGACTCATGAAATCGGGGGGGTGGGGTGGCGGGGAGTGTCAGTAAAGCGCTATTTTCCACAGACAAGGCCTTTAAGGGAAAGCTGCAGGCATTTATGGTAGGTTTAACCAAGCCAAGTTAACAGGAAAAAAATGCCCTCCCTTATTAGTACTGATGACATTACTACAGTTCGTGTCTCCCCCTTTGCCTGCTCTTCTAGAAATGCCAATGCGCTATTTCAGCTCCTCCTATTTTCCATTTTATTCTGCACAAAGGTTTCCAGAACCAAAAAAAATTAGTGATAATAGTAATATATATTAAATATTAATATTTCTATATCCTATTTTAGTCTGAAAAGAGAAGCCTTCTAGAACGATTCCCCCTTTCCTCTAAAACACGGTTTCTTGGCCCAAATACTACAAACATGTGGGCCAGATGAGTCTTTGTTTGGGGGTGGGGGATCCTGTGCATTGTAGGATGTTTAGCAGCATCCCTGGCCTTGACCTTCCACAAATCAGTAGCCGCCCCCCAATCTGTGACATCTAGATATGTCTCCAGACAGTATGAAGTGTTCCCTGGGGAGCAAAATCCCAGTTTGTGAAGCACTGTTGTAAGAAAACCGAGCAAGAGCTAAAGGTCACCTGAGGCTGGGCAGAGCCAGCCAGGAGTCTTGGTAAAATGTCACCCTTTAGCACCCTTTAGCTCCCGGCACCTGCAGCCACTCCCGGGAGTTAGAGACCACCTGGGCGTCCCCATCTACTGCCGCTCATCATTCTCCACCAGGGAAAACCAGTAGAGGGCGCTGCCTGCACGCGTGACGCAGGCAAGCTTTTACTGCTTAACGAGCAAAGGCAAGGAACACTTTATCCCCAGGGAAATATCTCCTATTTTTCCCTGGGCCTTCATTTGATTAGAAGTTAATAACCTGGCCATGCAAGGAAGCTGGCACACTCATGCACTGCTGGAAGGAGTGTAAACTAGTCCTTTTCTGGAGGAGAATCTGGCAGCGTCCATCCAGCAAAGCCTTTAAAAACGAGTCCCCTCTTTGACACGGCAATTCTACTTCTAGAAGTTTAACCAGAGAAAACAATTAAGGACGAGAGCAAATCCTTCCCCAGGAGGACAGTCCTTGAAATGCTGCTGACGACAGTAAAAACTGGAAGCAGAATCCCATTCTGGGGAGCAGGGTAAATAAAGCATAGAACACAGACTGATGCTGGAGTAGCAATGTAGCCCTCCCCAGGCCAGGCCGCGGTGTTGAAGGTCGTGGGAAGGTGAGTCACCTGGGTGGAGCTCAGCCTGTGCCGGGCCCAGGGAGAAGTGCCGGGCACACAGGAACTCCCTCCATCCTCGAAACGCTCCTGGTTCTGCTAGTACAATTATATCCCCATTTCGTAGACAGGAAAAGTGTCTTATGGAACTTGCCCAAGGGCACGTTGCTAGTAAGTGGGGTTCCAACCCAGGCCAAGCCTCCAGAACCTATGCATTTCACCACTCAGCATATGGCTCTGACTACAGACAGCAGAAGCTGGGGCAGGGGCAGAGCCAAGAGCCTAGAATGAGTACCGCTAAATGTACTGAGCGCCACGCTATGAGGGCTGTTAGGCCTTTAAAGCCCCGCTCTCCAATTCTGGCTGTGCAGCCTAGAAATGTCGAACTGGTACCGCAGGACTGAGCTCCTGTCCTTGCTAAGCTACCACCGAGAGCGCAGGGATGGGCAACTGCTTCACGGATAACCTCTGCCTCAGTTTCCCCAAGACGGGCTTCCGGGGTTGGAAAAGATCACTCAAGGTCGGTTCCCTCCCCCCATTTCTCCGCTCCATTATTTCTGTTACCTTCCCAGACATTTTCCCCTAGGCGGCCACCGGTCGTGTGCCACCCCCAGGAAAGCCGGAGGCTTCCCAGAAACAGCCAGTCTATGGTATGATAACAAGCAGGTCCCTCATAGGCCCCCGCAGCACAGGAAAGCCTGAGAGGGGAGGAAATGAAAACAGCAAAGACAACTTCCAAACAGCGTGTCTCTGTCCAACTGGCACAGGGCAGGAGACAGGCGGGTGACCTCCGCCACGGACTCCGGGACCGTCCGCGGGAATTACTGCTGATCGCAGCAACATGGGGCACCCTAAAAATAGCTCGATCTGTGGATGTGCTTAACATCTTATGCTCTTCCTGACCCTTGCTAAAACTCACCAAAAAAAAAAAATCAGCAAGTTTGAAAAAGCTTCAGAGGCAACCGGCTTTAGCTACAAAGACAGAGCAGACATCTGAAAGGGCTCCGATCTGACAGTGAGAATATTTATGGAATCAAATGGATAGCTGAGACACTCAGCAGCTTGTGAGTGAGGACAAGAGCTTCCTTGTTTCTGGATTCCCCGCACCCAGCCCTGGTGCTGAAGGAAGGAGCCACCATCTACCATTCTGAGAGCGGATCACCAGGCAGGCAGGCCTATACCTGGAGGCAGGACCAGGGGGGTTGGGTTTGTCTTTTGTTTAATCCATACATCTTTGTGTGTCTTCTACGTACACACTATAGAATATTCAAAATAAATACAGGAGTCTTCTTTTAGAAAAGGTCTAGACTGATGCAAGGTCCATCCAAAGGAACAATGGTATATTCACTTCCTATTGCTTTTATAGTCAATCACCACAAACTTACTGGCTTAAAGCAATGCACATTTATTATCTTACAGTTCTAGAAGTCAGAAGTCCAAAATCTGTTTCACCGGGCTAAACTCAAGGAGTCAGGAGGGCTGTGTTTCTTCTGGAGGCTCTAGGGACGAATCTGTTCCTTGTCTTTTCCGGCCTCTAGAGGCTGCCTGCATCCCTTGGCTTGTGGCCTCTTCCACCATCTTCAAAGCCAGCAGCTTAGCATCTTTTCTCTTCTCTGATCTCTGCAAGGTCCTCACATCTTCTCTGACACTGATCCTCCACCTCCTTCTTATAAGAACCCTTGTGATTACACAGACCCAGCTGGATAATCCAGGATAATCTCCCTGCCTCAAGATCCTTAACTGAATCACAGCTGCAGAGTCCCCTTTGGGATGAAGATGGAGACACCTTTGGGGACGGCAGTATTCTGCCTACCACACTGCATAAGAGTCACTAATTTGGAGAGTGCCCAGGGGCACTGTGTGTCTCTCTCCAGAGCCCATTCATCCTCAGATGGTTAAGTCTGGGCCAATGACCTAATTCCACCCCCTTTGACAGTAGCTGGTTCAGGGATGGGACAAAGAAGAGAGAAAGTTGTTGTGGACGCCTATGGGGAAAATGTCCCTGATCTTAACATCAACACACCAAAGAGATCCCACAGGTCACGAACAGAAAGCAGGCTGCCCACCTGCTGCAGTCAGCTATCATTATGGCCATGGGGACACCTGCCTTAGGATGAGACCTGTCCTCCAGACAGAAGACAGAGGGGCCGGCATCCCCAGTGACCTCCCTGAGCTGAGACACTAACACACAGACCCTGAGCAACCTCTGGGCCTGGAGCTCCTGTTTTGCAAGAGCATACATTTCCTTATTTTTAAAGCCACTTTGATTTGGTTCTGTTTCTTGCCAGTTGAAAGGAGAAGAGGGAAGGGAGCATGGGCCTCCTGCGCTTCCCCCGAGCATCAGGAAGCAACCTGCTGCTGAAAGAAATCGCAGTCTGGGCAGTAGCTGCTGAGCGACACAAAGATGCTTTATGGCAAAGATCTTAATTCTTTCCAACGTGGTACACATGAGAACTTTCTGCTGTAACAAGCAAAGGTTTTTATAATACAGTAGCACAAAATTAGTCAGTGATCTACACTGGATGAATTGCAAAGGACACAACGGTGGAGAAAAAAGACAAAAGTCCAGAGGCTAGGCTATCAGAGTATGAATGCTGGGGCCGAATACTCTGTTTTGCACCTGAAGACACTTAAAAACTCCACAAATGCTTATTGAGTATTGCATCCATTTCCCAGGGCTGCCGTAACAAAGCACCCCGAACCAGCTGGCTTAAAACAACCACAACGTACTGTCTCACGCTTCTAGAGGCCAGAGGTCTGACATGAAGGTGTGGGCAGGGCTGTGCTCCCGCGGAAACCCGCAGGGGAGAATCCTTCCCCCCTCTTCCCAGCTGCTGGTGGTTACAGGCAACCCTTGGCTTGTCGATGCATCACTCCAGTCTCTGTCTTCGTTGTCGAGGGGCAGTCTCCTGTGTGTCT